AAGAAGGATAGTAAATGAGAGATACTCGTTACATGTTTCAATTTATGATACAATGGTGCCTATTACTATGATCATGATTATAGTCGCTCCAAGACTCAACATCTTTTATGAAACCAGTAACAGTACAGCATATACTGCAGCCCATTTATCTGTGGTTTAAAGAAACCACAAATGCAGAGAAGGACCTGTATATGGATGTGACTTGCGTGAGATCTATGCCCATTCTTTTTCCCATGACAATATTTTGTGTGGCTGGGGGTCATGTCCCATCAGCTCTCTGCATCTTTACAGTGGTTGCCTTTCATTATGATTGAGTTGGTGATGCATCATCTGAGGCTCTTAGACACATCTGCACATCCATACATGCAGAATCCAGTCAGTGTTCAGGATTTACTTGCAGGTCTTTACTCAACTGTCACTTCTGCTTATGTTTTGGTTTTAGCTCAGAGGATTGTGTGAACGTTCGTTTCTTATGAGGATTTCAGGAAAAAATGTGATGACCAGTCAGAAACGGAGACATCAACAAATCCTTTCAGCATGTCACATAAAGAGCTCTGTCCATTTAGTTTAAGTTAATCTTCTTTGCAATGACATTCTGGTCAGCTTACCGTCACAGATCTTTTTACTCTTTGTGGCTAATGACACAGATACACTCTGTGCATTATATACTTTGACAGCTTGTTTATACTGTGGCTCAAATCTAGGTTTTTTGGCTGAAGCCCAAGGCAATATGCAGAGACCTGTAATTACCCGCTTTACACTCGGCACTGCAAAACCTGCTAGGAGGCATAAAGACATAGATTGAATGCCTGTCCACAGCAGCATGCTGGTTCAGGTTAAACAATGACCTTTGTTGAAGAGGGAAGCTCCTTTTAGAGTTAAATCACAGGCTGCACTGGACAATAGTGAGCAGAGAGGGAATCCCCTTGTCTTGAAAGTGTATAAGAGGCAGCGGAGGAATGTGGTCCTCAGCAGGACATCGATCAAACCTCTGGTCTCTGCAGACTAAGATAAAGATATAGGATTTTAGCTTGATTGAATGCTTCTCATGGCTGACCGCAGAGGTAAATACGCTGAAGAAAGAAGTTCGTGTGCTGTAGCAAATCTGTTTCTGTTGGCAAAAGGAAGCAAAAACTATATTGTACACAGTAAAAAAACAGTGTTATTGTAACGATCAGGGAAGCGATTGTGTCTAGGTACTCACATGGGACTGAACAATTTGCATTTTTATAGTGGGAGGAATGTGGTGTACTGCACTGCATACAAAACAACAGAGATTAAACTTTATTACCACAGCACAAGACCCACTAACATTTCAATGTTGATAAAAAACCTTTTCGTACAATGACACAATCACCAACATGTGGGAAAGGATGTCATATAGAAACATTTATATGTTGAGCTGGAGCATAGTTTTAGCATCTCAACTTTATTGCAGAAATTTTCATTTGGGTTTCATTCTTGACTTGAAGTGAAAATGTGTGAAAACACCAGGAAACTCCAGCATACACCTCAGAACCTCAGGTGTCCTCCTGGCCGTTACAAAGATAGATATGCGCTGGCATCATTTTTTTCATTTGCCCCCTCCAGTGAGTGTCCTGATTGTCCCTCTATTGCAGCTACTGTATAAACTGGGAGGGCTGTGATACTGAGAGGTGACAAACAAATATCCTGAAAAAACAAACATAACGAGAATGAATAATAATGCCTACAACATGTGTTCTAACAAGACAAATCAAAATCATGAGGAGTAGGGAAAACAAAATACCTGGAAGAGGTCTTTGTGTGTGTTTTTAATTTACCAGATGTAGAAGCTCCATATTTTCCAGTCAGGGTGTCACAGGTCCAACACTGCTTGCCGAGTTATGCAATCTAGCACACATTTCACCCAGTAGCAAAACGACTGTAACAGTAACTACCGTATTAAGGGCACAATTTAGCTTTGTCTAAAAGAATTCCTGTGGCACCTCTCACAGCTCAGGCCTGTTCACTAGGTTGTCTGGCAGTTTGTCAGATGTAATGAGGTACATATACACAAGAACACCAACAGGCAAACTCCTCATCCTCAATTCATTTGGCTGGCTAGCCTGTCTGAGCTTAACTATACTTACTAAAATCTCAAGAGGGTCTCACTCATACAAAAAGCATCAGCCAAGCCACCCACAGAGAGGAGTTCCAGTCAGGAAGAAACTGCTCATGTTTTTAACCACCTCTGTTTTGAGAAGAGTTCTATTATTATTGTCCTTTTAGCGCAGATTATTAACGAAAAGTGGCATAAATCTCAAATGATTAGGAAATAATGTTATGACAATAAGTCACAAATATTTAAAGCTACTCTACAAAATCTTTTTTTTTTAATTTCAGCAAGGTTGTGCGGAGGTGTGGCCATGTTTTGCACTTTAGAACATAACCACTAAACTATCAGAAAACAATGTTTTATTTTTGTGATTCACTTCTTTGTTTTGCTAATGCCATTTCCTGTCTTCATTCACTCTCTAGCTTGCTTGACCACAGATCTTTCTCTGTCTCTCTCTTAGTTGAGTAGATTTAGAGCACAGGCTGTGAGATTTGGACACAGAGATAAAAAGTACATCTTCCTGTTATGTCTTGGATCCTTTTGTTCCTACCAGTGAGACGTTGAATAGAATCAGATCGTTCACGAACCTAACATTAATAGCTGAGAAGTCCTCCATGGCTGGCTGTTCGAAATGATGACTCACACTTTGAAAAACGCTTCTTATAACATTTTCTAGGTGGCAGGCAAGGTTAATTTATGGACAATACTTTGACAACACAGTTTAGAAAAGTTGGAATATCAATAGAAGCGCTGTAGGAAGCTTAGCTGAAAGACACCATGTCCTGTCTCATTTCCATTTAATTTCTGAGAAAATGTGTCAAACATTTAAGGTTGAATTCATTAATATAAAGTAAGGCTACAGAAGCGTGGACAAGCTCTAAGAAATTAGTAAAATCTTCACTGAAATCAGTTTGTCTATGTATATTAGTGACAGCACAGACACCTAACCACACTGATCACTGAAACACAACTCAAACAGGACAACTGAATATGCCATCTCAGTACACTAACAGAGCTGTATTTTAATAGATATGACCTGAACTTTGAGAAATACAGTAAAACCCAACACCGAATGGCTTCAGTGGATCTAAAACAGCTGTGATACATTACCAGCCTCCCAGGTATTCATCTCTCCATTTCCTAATCTATTGTGACAGATGTGCATGATCAGAAAAATGACTGTATGTGGTCAGATATTGATGTTGAGTCACATCCAAGATCCCACATTAACATCTGCTGGTTAAAGATTTCACAGATTTCAGACACTTTGGACAAAACATGTATGTACAATAAAATAAAGCTTTAGCAGAATCCAAAGGCTGTATTGAAATATCCAGAGACTCATCAACAATTTTATTTCCTTTGTTCTCACTGTTTCATGCACAAGTTGCTCTCATAAGTATTAGCCAAACACTCAGCCCCAGTGCTAACCAGTGTGAAGTCTTTGAAACTGCTGCACTTGTGTTTACATTGGGGCGGCCTCTGGTCTTGGCCATCAAGCTAAATGAGGAAGGAGCTAAAAACAGCGTCCTTTGTGGGGCTGGGAGATTAACACAGCAGGGTACTGTGAACTGATGGAACAGTATGCCTGTTATGGTTAATGGCCAAGACCTGTACAGAGCCAGCTTCTTATTTTCAATTGTCAACTCAACATTGATATTTATTTTTTATTACAAAAAGACATTTATCTGACTATACTGTATGTAAATAAAAGAATAATTGTGCACTGCATTACATTTGTACTAAATCTGAAAAGCGTGATTTAGAAGAGGTACTGTACACCTTTATCCAAAACTGTGATGTCTATATTCAGTATATTTGAGGTCCTGTAGAGACTAACTTAGAAAAGTGAATAGACAAATTATATTGATGACATTTAGCAGTGCTAGCTTGGGAATGGGAATGATGATAAATCACTTAGGTATAGACAGTGAGATGACATTTTGTTGCAGTGAAATGTGACAGTAATGATGGCTTGCCATGTGCTAATTAGCTAAATGTTAGCGTGCTTGCACAGCTAGATGGTGAAAATTGTAAACATTAAACCTGCTATACATAGTCACTGTGGTATGTTAGCTGATCTGTTGATGTTAGCATCTAGCTGCCTAAAAACCGTTATTTCACAGAGCAACAAGCATGGTACAAAGTACATTCTATTTCGCTCATATTCATTTTCACAGTATTTGTGGTGCTCAGCACAGCTGTAGTTTTTCCATCGCAGGAATTCATCAGATTTGTACATGCAGTAAACACAAGCACCAAGTGTGACAGAAAAAAGGTGTCATTTCACAGTGTACGCTTGTCTCTTTATGGGAATTTGTGTTGAAACCATGTTTCTTTGCTTTCATCTTCATGTCAGTTTGAATAAGATCAGATGCTGACCTCCGGTCTGGTACGCCATCTCAAATGAAGCATGTCCTGGCAAGACATAAAACAAGCTGCATATAGTCATGCAGGACCGACTTAATCATCTCCAGATGAAATTAAAAGGCTTTTGCCTGAGCTCAAATATACCCCCTCATGATCCCCTAAATATGACAGTTTTAATTTACCTCAGGTCTTTGTTGAGTGGAAAGGACCGTTCCTTACGTTGAGGCAAATCTTTGGTTACAGGTTTCAGTATGTTTGCAATAACATTGCCCTGTGAGAATGCACTGATCCAAGAGTACACTCATGAGTGGACTTTTTGTTCATGAGTCTAAAACCAAGAAAAATCATCTCTGAGGGATTTCACACTAGCATAGCCATAATATTTTTGAGATTTCTGTGTAGTTTCCATTTATCTGGTCTGTTTTTAATGCTGTCTTGTTTGTGGTAGTTTAGAGATGGGTCCTGTAAAAATCTTAAGCCAGACTCTATGTGTGCATCTACCAACACTGCACACTCCTCATCTGACTAATGTACATCTCTTGCTGCCCTCCAGAACCCAGAATCTCTGGACTCGTCGATCCAGAGTGCCCTCTCGGCCCTCTTTCCACCTTTTGAGGTCACAGCACCAGTTGTCCTCAGCCAGCTGTTTCGTACTATAGAGGAACGTTACCATGGTGATGCATTGCAGTGTCTGCTGGACTTCCTCATCCCCTCCAAACACCTGCTGGAGAGTGTCCAACAGGCAGCATGTGTGAGTAGCAATACATTTAAATGCACACAACTGCTTTTAAGCACTTGTTTCTTGTTTCGCCTCACTACAACTACTCATTACAAACCAACGTTTGATATACCTGTATAAATATCAGTTCAGTTGAGACATGTTCACTAAATGTCAGGAGATTTATTGTAGGGGAGAGACATGGGGGGTAAACATACTGTTTGAGGTGGATTGCCAGAATTTGAGTGAAGAATCTCATCAAGTTTACATCAGCATCAAACTAATTCAGTGGCAAAAAAGAATACCTAATAGCTACATTGACATACTTTTAATGGTGCAAAAAATGTAAACACATTTAGGCAAAAGAACAAAAGGCTCTATCCCACAGCATATCTCACTAACTCCATGGCAGCATCATACTTCCTGTTTGCTGTATGGAATCTTCCAAGCCCCCAAATTATGTGAATTGTAATTCCAAAACTGCACTACAAACACTTTTTATTTTGTTTTTGGCATTAGAAAGGCCCTTATATTTCTGGAACACTGGTACTGTCATCTATTAATTCATATTCACAGTGATGATGTCATGATGAATTTATATGCTACAGCTTTGCTATGATTGCACAGTATACAGTATATATATATGAACACAAAAATGCAACTGAGATAACACAACTGTTTATATTTTATATCCATTAAATGTCCATGAAAAGTCAGAAGTGTTTGAAATTAGTGTAGTACTAAATTCAAATTAACAGTATAATTTGACAGTTTTCTGTAGATTATGAAAGAATTTACTGAAATGTTGAAGAAATTGTATAAAGCAGTGCAAATTCACACTGAATTACTCTAAAATAATACAAATTTTATAGGCTGGATACTCCGATGTGGTTTTCCGCTGTGAGGGCTGGCCTCTGTGTCTCCACGACAAAACTGTCATCCAATTAGCACCTGTGAACCCTTTGCTGCTGCGTCCTGGAGACTTCTATCTACAGGTGGAACCTTTCGGGGACCAAGCAGCGCGCATTGTCCTTAAAAGTCTTCTGGAAGAGGGCTGTAGAGAAGTGGAGGAGACCCCGGTGCCTGAGACTTCTTACCCGTGCATATTCACTGAAGACTGGCTGCAGGACATCAATGAAGGACGGCATGGAACTCCTCTGTCACGTTGTTTGCTTTGCACAGATCAAGGAGTAATCAAGTTGCCCTGGACCAAAATAGCCATCCCAGAATTTCTGGATAAGCCTAAGATCATCCCCACTTATCAGGAAGCTCCTCCTGAGCCAAAGCAAATCTCAGTTCCCTCCCATTTCATCTCCTCCACTCTACCAATGGATGCCATGATTCTTCATGCAAAAGACAAGATGACAGCATCTTTCAGAACAGTGGATAGTTCTTGCAAACTAGTCAAAGTGGAACATGAACGACGAACCCCCAAATCGTGTTCCAAACCTTTAATCAAACCTGTGGGTTGGGTTTCTCCTAATACTTGGGACAGCGGAAACTATCGGGGGATTGAGGGTGATTATGTAGACCTTGTGGATATTGCAAAAGAGAAGAAGCTTGTGGATAAACAGAGAGACAGTCATCCAAATCCACCCGGTTCAGCTTTGTTCAAACCTGTCAGACCACCACCACCTGTTCCACTTGGGAACAGTGTTCGCTGTGGACACACCCTTCAGTATGAAGAGGAGCCTTGTACTCCATGCAGCCAGAGAAAGCTGGGGCAGGAGGCCACTGATCAAGACTTGAAATGTAGGTACAGAGACTCTTACTTGGCGGCACTGAAAAACCCAGTTACTTTTGAGATGGGAAGTGTAGACCTCCTGACTGCCCTGGAGGAGGTCAGCCTTAGTGAAGAGGGAGGGTTAAGTTCCAAGGGTACATCTGAAGTTCAAACAAATGACCTGGGAAACAAGTGCAACCCCTCTAAAGAAGCTATGATACATCACGAGCTTTGCCAGTGCAAACAGTGCTGTGAACCAACACCGGAAAACTCTGTATCTCACCTTGAAGACCTCCCTACAAGTTCTGAATCAGAGAATGTTATGATGGAATCACCTGTGATTTTAAAATCAACCCCTGGTTTGAGCCTTAGTCAGAGGGTTCAGACAAAACTTATTTCCCACCAGTTAGGACAGAATGTTAGTTTGCATCCAGGATCAGATGTGTTCTTGGAAAACCATGATGGTGACAGGAAACCTCATCAGAAGTCAGAAGTTGTGAAACCATTAGGAAAACATAAACTTAAACTGAGGTCTCTGTCCACTGTGTCAGAGACACCAAAAGGGAGTCCGCTTCTCTATAAAGTCAACACCAGGAGCCACAGTGATATTTGCCCTGAAACAATCACCAGCATAATCCAGTGTAAGAAAGGTGAACTGCTGGATCAGGTGATTCCAAAGCTGGAAAAACTGGCTGGAAAGTCCCCCAAAAAAGGTAAGCAGGGTCAGCAAGTTAAGACTGACTTTCTTTTTTGATACAGTCCTTTATGCTCTGGAGATTTCTGTTTCTCCCCCAACGCCACACACAGTTTGTACATTATTACTGCACACAAAGCCATTTATTATGATTTGTTGCTCAGTGCTGGAAGGGGCCAATGAACTTTCATGCCAAGCAGACTGACTGAAACTCAATTGTGTCTTTGCATGCTTTACACTCCACTGAGGGTCACACTTTATGAAGACTCTTTAACCAACAGGATCAAGGGTCAGGTCTGAGTGTAATCTTCCTGCAAGGATTCTCCCACTGCTGTCTGAGTTCTTTGGCAGTATGGCTGCATTCACGTCATTCCCATTTCAGAGGGAGTTAACGGAAATAGCATGCTGCACCCCAGTGAAAGAGAAAAGAAAGACCAGTGCAGTCCTCTAATGTAGAGAGACAGCATAACACGCAAGAAGGAGGTCTCTTTGTCTGCTTCGCCTGCTGGCTCCCACCCTCATGCTCTCAGAGGAGCATGTTGAGATCTTGACTGGATGCATACTTGTCAGTGATTATTAAAGTAGCCAAGAGAGTGAGAGCACAGGCGAGGCTTTGTTGGCTCTAAGGAGAGGCCAATTAGGAAGTCTGAAATCAAAGTCAGGTTTAGAAGCCAGGGCACTGCAGAGTTACCATGTCCAATGTTTAAAATCTGTCTGTAAACAGCTGTGCAGCTGCATAAGATTCACATTTAAAGAGGGCTATTATGAGTTATGGCTGAATAAATAAATATATCCTTTGTATGAAAGGGCAGATGTCACTCAACCCTAAGGTAAACTGTGAAAATCAGTGCAGTCTGATGAATTAAACAAATAGCTGAAAAACAAACTATGCTCACTTTTTTGCTTCAAATATAGTATGTGCTTGATTTATTAAGTTCTTCTTTGTTTATGTTTACTGACAGACTCCCAGTCAAGCAGAAGTCAAACTCCCTCCGCTACAGATGGGTCAGACTGCGACCAACAAAACTTTGAGTTCAACCAGTCAATATGTCCACTAGTTCAGCTTTCTTCTGCAAGTTCTGATGCCCATCAGTCTCCACAAACAGAAGAAGCCAATTTCAAAAGCATCAGTGGTCTGCTTGAACTGGGCATCATTTGTTTACCAGGTATTTTGTACTAATGAGTCCGACACCAGCAATTCCATATTTAAGTATAATTGGTTATGGAGAAGTTCTTTTAACAAGATTTTTATTTTGCATAAAAGCATATGCATGTATGTATGTGCATTCACCCAAATAACCTCCAAGTCTATACAGACTAATGTATTCGTCAATGTCACTGTCACAGCACTTGGCACTAAAAACACAGATTTGACACAAGTGAGCCTCATAGATATACCAAATAATCTTAACAGCTCACTTGTGACCTGATCAACTCTCATGTGTCATTGCTTGTGCTAGTGCCTTAATAAGCTTTTCATATCTTTTCATCTGGGCGTCACAGCAGAATGGTAGTTGGTGCTGTCGCCTCGTAACAAGAAGGTTTTGGGTGCAAGCCCGGGCCGACCTGAGGCCTTTCTGCATGTTCTCCCTGTGTCTGCGTGGGTTCTCTCTGGGTACTCCAGCTTCCTCCCACAGTCCAAAGACATGCAGCTTGGGTTGATTGGAGCCTCTAAATTGCCTGTAGGAGTGAGTGTGTGTGGTTGTTTGTCTACATGTCAGCCCTGTGATAGACTGGTGACCTGTCCAGGGTGTACTCTGCCTCTTCCCCAATGTCAGCTGGGATTGGCTGGGATTGCAGAAATAAGTTGTATAGATAATAGATGGATGGAGCTTTTCATCTTTATGAAAAATAGTAATATTTTGCTAACTGCTTGTCTGCCTTGCTTATCCTCAGGCAGCAGGGATAGGACAGGCAGGGCAGTGGTGGAGGTCCACGGTGAAAGGAAGGAGTGGATGTCCCCTCTTGTATCAGCCCAGACTGTCTGTGAATTACTGCTCTACCTTCACTCCATACCAAGGTATTTGAAATAAGGCTTTATGTAATGCATTATTTTAAAAAAACCATGTAAGTAAGAGTCTGAGTGCCCATTATGAGGTGGTGAAAATTGTTACTGGATTACTGTGCAGCTAGCTCCCAATGTGGTGGTGTGTAGACTAATAAGAGGTTTGACCACAAGAGGGCTGCAGAGCACCATTTAATGTGTGCAGTATTTTTGTTGTCTCAACAAACTTTGAATATGATGCATACTCTTACATCCAGACTAAGTGATTCCTGGTGTCTTATCTCTTGAATTGTTACTATTTTGCTATTAGTAAAATTATACATTTTGTGCACAATTAAAACTTTATATATCACTGGTCCTCCTCATGTAGATCAGCTGACAGACCCTCTGCCAGAACTGTTTCAGTGCTCACCCTCAAAGATCTGTTAGAGAACACTTTAACTGTTATTTATGTACAGCACTGGGTTTAATGGCAACTTTGATGTTCAAAAAGCTATTTTATCATATAGTGTGGTCTTCCTGTGTGCACAGTAAAGAGCCCTACAACAACAGCCTCTAGCCAGGCTGGCTGCCAATAGTCTGGTATGCAGCGCCTTGCTAGAATTGGCAACCACGTAGTGCAGGCTCACACAACAGTAACCCAAGCAGAGGCTATTAAGAGGGGTGTGTGAAGGTGTCATAAATGTGGAACAGGATATGTGAAGAAGTGTGTGTGATTGTGAGGAAGACAAGGAAAAATAAGAAGATAAATACATATTTTAGGAGTGAAATAAGTAAAGCCTAAAAGCTACCATACATATATTGGCCACTGTGATTTCACCCAGACATTGTTCAATGTTTTGTAGGAAAGATGTTCGGGAGCTGGGAATGACTTTAATAATCAATGCCAAGAAGAAGCCTCCTCCACTTCACCTCTACAAAGCTCTGCTGATGGCTCAGGTTAAAACAACAAACCTGCATACACATGCCAGAGTGAACATGCTAAACCATAGCATCCATCCAAAAATGAAAACAAAGACACCATTTCATCAGATGCAGACATATGTCAAAGTATATGCCTGGACCAGTTCCTTGTGGTTTTAATAAACAAATTAAATGTGCTGAATATTCTTGATAATAGAGCATGGTATAATACATCTAATGTTTTTGTGACAGTCTGTTTTCTCATATCTATAGAGTTTTCCCAATTTTTTTGTCTTAAACTTTTTTGAATACCTGCTACAGGAGCAAGCTCTTCACGCTGTGCACAGTATTGTGATGCTGATGGCTAAAGACACTTGTCCACGACCTGAAAAACAGCCAGGGCTGCAGGTCAGAAATAAAAACCATTTCAAATGTTTCATGTCTTTCTTCAGGCTTTTTCATTTTAGTCAGATCTGATGCTAAAGACAGCTACTATTTTCCTTCCTTCCTAACCAAGCCTTTGTCTTTAAGATGGACATGGTGACTTCTATGAAAGCCCTAAACAAGACAGTGGAAGTCTCCCAGCTGACACCTGACCTGGGCGGTACCTTTATTTACAGCCATAAAGATTGGCTGCAGTTCTATGAGGTACTGAAGCTTTACTATGTGTCTACAGAACTGCTGTGGTATCATGTCTCAAAATCACTTAGATAAACAGTGGAGTTTCCTGTAGATTCAGAGGAGGCTGCTATTTAGCCACAGCTCTGGGGATGACTTGTTAGCCACACACCCACATCCAAACATTCATTATCTCTGTTGTTGTTTAATGCCACATTTAGCTGTGGCCTTTCAGTAGAGGGAGATTATGGTCACAGAGCAAAAGTTCTTAGGTTTTTGATTATTTATCATAGTAAAAAATTACCATTAATAGGGAGGCTGATATTTTATACTAGTCGTACAACACTGATCAGTACAAATCTTGACTGGCTAAGGTCAGTCATTTGCTCTGCCACATTTAACTAGTATACTTTTTTAACCTCTGCCAGAAGCTGGTAGAGTGTTATGCAGTTGGAACCAAATCCCAACAGCTTCTTTAATAATTGCCTGGCCAATCTGTCTCAAGGTACACACTTGTTCCAACCAAGCCTAACACACTGCCAAACCTACAACAATTTACATACAATATGCATTGAATTGGGTATTAATCTGCAGGTTAGGGGCAAACGGCTAAGGCTTGTCACATAGAAACGTGGCCATCCCTCTTGTCCTGAGGACTGGCTTTACCCAGTAGCTGTGCCACCTGTAGAACAGGCTGGCTAAGATCAACAACAGGTTTTCAATAATATAGCATGTCAAAATAGTGGTCAGTTGCCAGAAACCGTTATAACATTGTTCAGTATTTCCAAGGGCAGTCTCCTGCATTTTGTTCTGAAGTCCAGCTAATGAACATGCCTCAGTACGTCTGTACTGTATGTGCATGGCCTGTAGTACTCTCTGTAGGCAGCAGGTGGCAGACATGTAGTGGCTCTGCTACAAAAATCCCCTGTTTTCAATACAGTGCATGTTTGTTGGCCTCTACTAAACTAAATTCATTTTAGAGATTGGCTTCTTTCCTGACTGACCTGCGAGGGGCCGACAGCTTGTTGCAGAAGACCATCAAGAAAGTAGATGGCAGCAAAAATATTGACACTGCTAAGGTAAAATGATTTGATTTGATTTGATTTATTTATTCTTTCAAACATGTAACAACAGTCAGTATGTAATCACACATAATTCCAGACATATCCACAAAAATATTTTCAAATTGCTTATACCTAGTACATGCTTGAACGGAGTAGGAAGAAGTTAGACTTATCTAGTCCTACCCCCTAACATCAGCTTATTATCATTGGTTTGCAAGCAGCATTACTACATGGATACATATTCTACATCCACACTCCCATCTGATTAATCATTAAGCCTGTTCTTGCCCATATCTTGATTGACACATACCTTTATATCTGTGTTTAAACTCATCAATTTTCTTACTGTTTTTTATGTCCATACTTAAATTATTCCATAGTTTTACTCCACTTATCGAAATACAGAATCTTTATTTGGTGGTGCGTATAGCATGAATTTT